ACACACGCACACACACACACACGCACACACGCACAGACACACACACACGCACACACACACGCACACACACACGCACACAGACACCGACACACACACGCACACACACACACGCACACACACACACGCACACACACACACGCACAGACACACACGCACACGCACAGACACACACACGCACACACACACACACACGCACACACACCCGGCCGCCTTTGTCTCCCCAGTGCTGTCTACTCTACCCACCCCACCAGGTAGCCCACAGAAGGCCGAGGCGACCTTCGGGGAGGCCCAGCAAATGATTCGAGTGCAGTAATCGTCGTACATACACACACATGTGTGTCACGTGTGTCACTCACACACGTGTGTGTGTGTCACTCACACACGTGTGTGTGTCACGTGTGTCATTCACATGTGTGTCACGTGTGTGTCACTCACACACACACGTGTGTTACTCAGCCACGTGTGTCACTCACGTGTGTGTCACGTGTGTCATTCACATGTGTGTCACGTGTGTGTCACTCACACACACGTGTGTTACTCAGCCACGTGTGTCACTCACGTGTGTGTCACGTGTGTCATTCACATGTGTGTCACGTGTGTGTCACTCACACACACGTGTTACTCAGCCACGTGTGTCACTCACGTGTGTCACGTGTGTCATTCACATGTGTGTCACGTGTGTGTCACGCACACACACACACGTGTGTTACTCAGCCACGTGTGTCACACACGTGTCACGTGTGTCATTCACATGTGTGTCACGTGTGTGTCACTCACACACACACACGTGTGTTACTCAGCCACGTGTGTCACTCACGTGTGTCACGTGTGTCATTCACATGTGTGTCACGTGTGTCACTCACACACACACACACGTGTGTTACTCAGCCACGTGTGTCACTCACGTGTGTGTCACGTGTGTCATTCACATGTGTGTCACGTGTGTGTCACGCACGCACGGACACCCACAGACTACTCCCCCCGCCCCCCGTCCCTCGCCCAGCCCCGCCCCTTGACCCCCCCCCCCCTCTCCTCCTCGAGGCTGGGCACCGCTCCGCAGTTGTCACTACCCATAATGCATCTCGCCAGAGCATGTGGCGCACAGGTGCGAGATAGAGACACGAGATAGAGACACGGGTGGTGAGAGAGAGACACGGGTGACAGAGAGAGACACGAGATAGAGACACGGGTGGTGAGAGACACGGGATAGAGACACGGGTGGTGAGAGACACGAGATAGAGACACGGGTGGTGAGATACGGGGTGTGAGAGAGACACGAGAGAGAGACACGGGTGAGAGAGACACGGGGAGAGAGACACGGGGAGAGAGACACGGGGTGTGAGAGAGACACGGTGAGAGAGACACGGTGAGAGAGACACGGGGAGAGAGACACGGGGTGTGAGAGAGAGACACGGGGAGACACGGGGTGTGAGAGAGAGACACGGGGAGAGAGATACGGGGTGTGAGAGAGACACAGGGAGAGACACGGGGAGAGAGACACGGGGAGAGAGACACGGGGTGTGAGAGAGACACGGGGAGAGAGACACGGGGAGAGAGAGAGACACAGGGAGAGACACGGGGAGAGAGACAAGGGGTGTGAGAGAGACACGTGAGAGAGAGACACGGGTGGTGAGAGAGAGCCACGGGGTGAGAGACACGGGTGGTGAGAGAGAGACACGGGTGGTGAGAGAGACACGGGGTGTGAGAGACACGGGTGGTGAGAGAGAGACACGGGTGAGAAAGAGAGAGACACGAGAGAGAGACACGGGGTGAGAGAGAGAGACACGGGGTGAGAGAGAGACACGGGTGGTGAGAGAGAGACACGGGTGACGAGAGAGAGACACGGGTGACGAGAGAGAGACACGGGTGGTGAGAGAGAGACACGGGTGAGAGAGAGACACGGGTGACGAGAGAGAGACACGGGTGAGAGTGAGACACGGGTGAGAGAGAGAGAGAGACACGGGGTGTGAGAGACACGGGTGGTGAGAGAGAGACACGGGGTGAGAGACACGGGTGGTGAGAGAGACACGGGTGAGAGACACGGGTGAGAGAGACACGGGTGATGAGAGAGAGACACGAGTGATGAGAGAGAGACACGGGTGAGAGAGACACGGGTGATGAGAGAGAGACACGGGTGATGAGAGAGAGACACGGGTGAGAGAGAGAGAGAGACACGGGGTGTGAGAGACACGGGGTGAGAGAGAGACACGGGTGGTGAGAGAGACACGGGTGGTGAGAGAGACACGGGTGGTGAGAGAGAGACACGGGGTGTGAGAGACACGGGGTGTGAGAGACACGGGTGAGAGACACGGGTGAGAGAGAGAGAGACACGGGGTGTGAGAGACACGGGTGGTGAGAGAGAGAGACACGGGTGAGAGAGAGACACGGGGTGAGAGACACGGGTGAGAGAGAGACACGGGTGATGAGAGAGAGAGAGAGAGACACGGGGTGTGAGAGACACGGGGTGAGAGAGAGACACGGGTGGTGAGAGAGACACGGGTGGTGAGAGAGAGAGACACGGGTGGTGAGAGAGAGAGACACGGGGTGTGAGAGACACGGGTGGTGAGAGAGAGACACGGGGTGTGAGAGACACGGGTGGTGAGAGAGAGACACGGGTGGTGAGAGAGAGAGACACGAGAGAGAGACACGGGTGAGAGAGAGAGACACGGGGTGCGAGATCACGGTTGCCGCACAATCGATTCCAACGTCGAATCGATTCCGCTTAAATCGATCCGCGTATTTTCGAATCGCGTTTCGTCAGCGCGCGTGCGGAAGTTTGCACGTCCCCTTGCGTGGACCCGTAGCCTCGTCAAACCCCCGCGCATTTTGAGTTTCACCACCGAGGGGACCTTGGGGGTAGGGAGAGAGGGGTTCTTGGGGGTGGAGAGAGGGGGTCTTGGGGGTGGAGAGAGGGGGTCTTGGGGGTGGAGAGAGGGGGTCTTGGGGGTGGAGAGAGGGGGTCTTGGGGGTGGAGAGAGGGGGTCTTGGGGGTGGAGAGAGGGGGTCTTGGGGGTGGAGAGAGGGGGTCTTGGGGGTGGAGAGAGGGGGTCTTGGGGGTGGAGAGAGGGGGTCTTGGGGGTGGAGAGAGGGGGTCTTGGGGGTGGAGAGAGAGGGGGTCTTGGGGGTGGAGAGAGGGGGTCTTGGGGGTAGGGAGAGAGGGGGTCTTGGGGGTGGAGAGAGGGGGTCTTGGGGGTGGAGAGACCCCGTCTTGGGGGTGGAGAGAGGGGGTCTTGGGGGTGGAGAGAGGGGGTCTTGGGGGTGGAGAGAGGGGGTCTTGGGGGTGGAGAGAGAGGGGGTCTTGGGGGTGGAGAGAGGGGGTCTTGGGGTGGAGAGACCCCGTCTTGGGGGGGGTGGGGTGGAGAGAGGGGGGTCTTGGGGGTGGAGAGAGGGGGTCTTGGGGGTAGGGAGAGAGGGGGTCTTAGGGGTGGAGAGAGGGGGTCTTGGGGTGGAGAGAGGGGGTCTTGGGGGTAAAGAGAGGGGGTCTTGGGGGTAGGGAGAGAGGGGGTCTTGGGGGTGGAGAGAGGGGGTCTTGGGGGTAGGGAGAGAGGGGGTCTTGGGGGTAGAGAGAGGGGGTCTTGGGGGTAGGGAGAGAGGGGGTCTTGGGGGTAGAGAGAGGGGGTCTTGGGGGTGGAGAGAGAGGGGGTCTTGGGGGTGGAGAGAGGGGGTCTTGGGGGTAGGGAGAGAGGGGGTCTTGGGGGTGGAGAGAGGGGGTCTGGGGGTAGGGAGAGAGGGGGTCTTGGGGGTGGAGAGAGGGGGTCTTGGGGGTAGGGAGAGAGGGGGTCTTGGGGGTGGAGAGAGGGGGACCTTGGGGGTGGAGAGAGGGGGTCTTGGGGGTGGAGAGAGAGGGGGTCTTGGGGGTGGAGAGAGGGGGTCTTGGGGGTGGAGAGAGAGGAGGTCTTGGGGGTGGAGAGAGAGGGGGTCTTGGGGGTGGAGAGAGAGGGGGTCTTGGGGGTGGAGAGAGAGGGGGTCTTGGGGGTAGGGAGAGAGGGGTTCTTGGGGGTGGAGAGAGAGGGGGTCTTGGGGGTGGAGAGAGAGGGGGTCTTGGGGGTGGAGAGAGAGGGGGACCTTGGGGGTGGAGAGAGAGGGACCTTGGGGGTGGAGAGAGGGGGTCTTGGGGGTGGAGAGAGGGGGTCTTGGGGGTGGAGAGAGAGGGGGTCTTGGGGGTAGGGTGAGAGGGGGTCTTGGGGAGAGAGAGGGGACCTTGTGGGTAGGGAGAGAGGGGGTCTTGGGGGTCAGTTGGGGTCATTACAGGGGTAGATGGAGCTAGGGGGTCTGGGGGCGTCTAGTGAGCGTGGTGGTGGTGAGTGAAGGGTGAGCGTCATGTGATGATGAGTAGAGTGGTGAGGAAGGTGTTGTCGGTAGTGGTGAGTAGGGTGGTGAGTGGTAGTGAGTAGGGTGCTGAGTGCAGGGTGAGCGTCATGTGAGGGTGAGCGAAGGTTCGGGTGAGGAGGGTGGTGAGGTTGAGGTGAGTGAGGCCGGATTGGTGGGCGGCTATTTGGCAGGTGAGCGTGAGGCAAGGTGAGGGTGAGGAGGGGTCGGTAGTGGTGAGGAGGGTGGTGAGTAGTGGCACCTGCTGGGTCTGCCCCGTGACCTCCTGCCAGCGGGCGTTCGACACTTCACGTGATAGCCTCAAGGTGCACGTGGCCTGGCACAAGCGTCGTGGTGACGTCCCCGCCACTTAGTCGCGAATGGCGGTTGTTGTTGTTGGAGGGTGGTGAGTAGTGGTGAGGAGGGTGGTGAGTAGTGGTGAGGAGGGTGGTGGTGAGTGGGGTGAGTAGTGAGGAGGGTGGTGAGTAGTGGTGAGTAGGGTGGTGGTGAGGAGGGTGGTGAGTAGTGGTGAGTAGGGTGAGTAGAGTGGTGAGTAGGGTGAGTAGGGTGGTGAGTGGGGGTGGTGAGTAGTGGTGAGTAGGGTGGTGAGTAGGGGTGAGTGGGGGTGAGCAGGGTGGTGGTGAGGGTGGTGGTGAGTAGGGTGGTGAGTAGTGGTGAGGAGGGTGGTGAGTAGTAGGGTGGTGAGTGGTGGTAAGGAGGGTGGTGGTGGTAGTGGTGAGTAGTGTAGTGGTGAGTAGTGGTGAGTAGGGTGAGTAGTGGTGAGTGGTGGTGAGTAGTGGTGAGTAGGAGGGTGGGGGCTATGCGCGGGCCCGTCCTGGCCGTGGTTCTGGGGGTGCGGGGTCCGGGCCCCCTGGACCCCACGTGTGCAGAGTGCGGCGCGGGGGTCACGTGGGACTCACGTGACCACGTGGGGTGCGACACTCACCACACTCACCTCACTCACCACACTCACCACTCACTCTCACCACTCTCACCACACTCACCACACTCACCACACTCACCACTCACTCACCACACTCACCACTCACCACTCACTCACCACACTCACCACTCACCACACTCACTCACCACACTCACCACTCACTAACCACACTCACCACACTCACCTCACTCACCTCACCCCACTCACCCCACTCACCTCACTCACCCCACTCACCACACTCACCACACTCACCACACTCACCTAACCACACTCACCACACTCACCTCACTCACCTCACCCCACTCACCACACTCACCACACTCAGCTCACCCCACTCGCCACACTCACCACTCACCTCGCCCCACTCACCACACTCACCACTAACCTCACCACACTCACCACACTCACCCCACTCACCTCACCACACTCACCACACCACACTCACCACACTCACCACACTCACTTCACCTCATACAATCCATCATACAATACCACACTACACCATCATACCATACACACCATCATACATTACACAACACACTAAACACACACACCATCATACTATACACACTAAACACTACACACCATACACACCATGATACAATGCACACCACACACCACCATCTGCACTGCTTCCGTATCAGACCTTGCCAATAGATGGCAGCAGTAGCCAGCACTGTGCGGGTGTAGGGGGAGCGGTGGCGCAGCGGTTAGCGCACTGCGGCTACGATCCCGGCGACACAAGTTCCATTCCCGCTCACGATCAATAGCAGCGAGAGCGAAACTCCGAACCGGTCCTGGGCCTCCCCAAGGTCGACTCGGCCTCAAACTAGTACCTGCTGCGGTGTGTGTATAGTAGTGTTGCATAGGCTACACCACCACCACCTCGTGTGCCGTGCCGGCCTTCATAGGTCGCTTGCTGACCGCTAACAGAGGGGGGAGGGGGCGTTACCCTTTGCGTGACCTCACAAAGCCTGCACGCGCTCGGCCCACGTGACCTCAGGACGCAGGCGAGGCCACGTGGGGAGCCGTCGATGGAAGGCGACTCGCGTCCGCCCCCTTGCGGAGTCGGCACGCGGTGACGGAGCGCGTGGCTCGCACGTGGACTTGTTTGAAGTTCGCCAATCATCATCCCCGTCCTGTGCGGGGTAGATAAACTGGGTGCAGTACCCCCACTTTGTTGGGCAGGACGATGAACGGCGATTTGTCCGCCCATAGCAGTGTGGAATTTCCACCACCGGGCTGTCAACGTGGATTCATAATTTTCTCACGAGGTCACCGACACGCTTTGACCGCAGGGGCTTTCTAACTCTCGGTTCGAGCCCACGCGGCCACCCTGGTTAATACCGCGCGCTCTGCGTACGTGCAGGTTGGAGTGTGCGCGGTGCGGACCGGCCGGGGTGCGGTGGCGCTACCGCTTGTGGGTGACGGTGGCGGTGTTGGGGCCCGCCGGGGAGGGGCCCACCGGCCACGGGGCGGGTGGTGGTGGTGGTGGTGGAGGGGAGGTCACCCCGCGACCTCTCGCCTTCATCACGGTGTTTGGCCCCTGCCTGGATGAGTTCATGGGAGGCCCGGCACCCACTTTTAGACGGTGAGATCACACACACGCACACACAATCACTCGCATAATCTTCTAGCAAAAAAAACGAGCGGACCATTATTTAGTTTCACGTATATCCATCTCCGCACATGAACAATGCAAGCGTTTTTATTCTTTACCCATCCCATCAGCGGCACGGTCTAACGCAAGTGCATCACTTCAGCAGCAGCAGCGGTTCGGTACAATCAAACTCTGGACCGCCTTTGACATCCAGTGTCTCGTCAGCAAGAGTCGGGCTCGGCTGGACCCAATGTCGGTGATGTGCGGTGCGGTCCAGTTGCTCTGTGCTGAGCCAATGCTGCCGATATGATGCACTCCCAGATTGAATGCCGTGTGTAAAGCAAGGCCGTTATTATAATATATTCAAATATGCTCAAAATGTCCCCCCCAATATATTGTTGTAAAATATATTTCTGTTTATATGATTGTGGTTATGGTTGTACTTTATTAATCACTAATCTCTGCCATTACATACAATGAAACAAGAAAGGTAAAGAAGAATATACAGAGCAGTGTAACACAATACACTATTAGACATTATTGTTAAAATGTAATAAAAGTCCATCCCATGTGTTACTGAATTTTTTAATATTTTAGGCAGGAAATTCGTTTTCAAATTTAGATTTTTTTTTCTGGGGGGGGCACCCCCAGACCCCCAGGAAGATTTGGTCCTCCCCAAAGTTGACTCCATTGCTACGGCCTTGGTGTAAAGGAATACTCGTGTGTGGGTGTGTGGGTGGGTGTTTTATGTGGATGGACGGATATGGGAGTAGCAGGTGGCGTTTACGGACTCTGCTGTGCGTGGTGATGAACGTGGCTTGTCGCGCTCGTGGGGGGAGCGGTGGCGCAGTGGTTAGCGCCGCTGCGTACGAACCCGTCGACCCGCGTTCGATTACCCCACTCGTGGGCCTCCCCCGGCACAGCGTTCTTCATTGCAAGGCCCGTGGGCCACTGGCGGCCCCTGGTTGCCTGTAGTGCGGCCCCTAAACCTGCGGGCCCTGACAATCACGCAGCAAGTGGCAACACCTCCCGTCGTCATCGTCATCGTCCCCGTGCTGTCAAACCCCCAATGGTTCCCAAATGTGCGGCGGCCCTCCTCACGGCCGACGATGTCTCATCGGCGAAGGTGGGCCGCCCGCCCCTCTGAAAGTGAGCGACAAACGCTGCCCCAGTTCGACTCAACCTTGGTACGAGTACCCGGTGCGACGTGTGAACGTCAGCGCTGGGGAGACAAAGGTTGCCGTGCTCGGTGCTTGCCGTGCTTACCCCCCCCTCGCGTGCTGTGCAGGCCACGGCTCGCGAACAGCGCTTGCCCCAACAGTCTGTCGAAGGCTACACGGCAGAGTTCGCAACCGGGTACCCGATACCCATACCCTACCCGATACCCGGCCGGGTACGGGTACCCGTTTGCGACCCTGGTGCGGCCGGGTACGGGTAGGCCGTGAGTCATTGGTGAGTAACCGTTTGTCACTCATTTCCCAACGTCTTGACTCTTCTCACAATTCAAGTTCATAGAATCAACCCACCCGCGCCTGTAACATGGCTTCATCCCAGAGGTCGCAATCAGGTACCCGATACCCGTACCCTACCTGTACCCGGCCGGGTAGGGTACGGGTACCCGTTTGCGACCCTGGTGCGGCCGGGTACGGGTACGGGTAGACCGTGAGTCACTGGTGAGTCACCGTTAGTCACTCATTTCCCAACGTCTTGTCTCTTCTCACAATTCAAGTTCCTAGAATCAACCCACCCACGCCTGCAACATGGCTTCATCCCAGAGGTCGCAATCGGGTACCCGATACCCGTACCCTACCCGTACCCAGCCGGGTACGGGTAGGGTACGGGTACGGCCGGGTATGGGTACCCGTTTGCGACCCTGGTGCGGCCGGGTACGGGTAAGGAATCAAAACCCGTTTGCGACCTCTGCTACACAGTGGGTGTGTAATCTTCGTCTTTGTTCTGCAGGGCGGTGATGAGCGTGTGGAGAGGGGAGGGAGATCGCGGGGAGGGGGCCGGTGGCCGCGGGCCCATGGGGGAGCCCTGGGCCCTGTTGTGCTGCGCCACCGAACAGTTCTTTGTGGGGCGAACGTTCATCTTCGGCCTGCAGGTGAGGGTCCTGCAGAGTGGCCCAGAAGTCACGTCACGTTGGGTTGTTGTTGTACAGGGTGGGACACATTGGGTTGTTGTTGTTGTTGTTGTGCAGAGTGGGCCCAAAGTCAGGACACATTGGGTTGTTGTTGTTGTTGTGCAGAGTGGGCCCAAAGCCAGGACACATTGGGTTGTTGTTGTACAGGGTGGGCCAAAAGTCAGGTCACATTGGGTTGTTGTTATTGTTGTTGTACAGGGTGGCCCAAAAGCCAGGTCACATTGGGTTGTTGTTGTACAGGGTGGGCCAAAAGTCAGGTCACATTGGGTTGTTGTTATTGTTGTTGTACAGGGTGGCCCAAAAGCCAGGTCACATTGGGTTGTTGTTGTTGTTGTGCAGAGTGGACCCAAAAGCCAGGACACGCTGGGTTGTTGTTGTTGTACAGGGTAGGCCAAAGTCAGGTCACGTTGGGTTGTTGTTGTACAGGGTGGGCCTCCGCATTTAGAATCAACAACATCTGTTGAGAGTAGTTGGCTGCTATAAATGTCCACATGATAAGCCACCTCGTTGAGCTGTCATGTGTTGCCAGGTCGTTTCTCAAGAAGAACAAGAGCTACATTGTAGCTCTGTGAACCTTACCTAGTCAAATAAAACGACGGATTTTAGTTTTCACCACTCCGCCATCACCGCTCCGACATAAATTTTCTCTACCCCCCCCCTCCGCCCCCCACCACTCCTAGCCCCCCTCTCGCCCACACAGAGCCCCCCACTGTACGAGTTTCGTGGCTTCCCACCTGTGGTGTACGCAGCCTCTCCCCCACGGACTCACCGTGCTCTCCATCGTGAAGCGGCTCGCTCAGGTGCACTTTCATTGAGGAAGCTGCGTAATGTTGTCTTGCTGTGGACTGTTGTTGTTGTTGTTGTGCCTTGCAAAACAACAAGGGGATTCTCATAATGCACACCACACACACCATC